AATTATTAATTTTTCCAATTCAGCGCGTAAAACACAACCCCAAAAAATCTCTCTCCGCGCAAGCATAAATAACTTCTGGGGGGGAAAGAGATTTCGAGAAATTATATAGCCTTGTGTTTTCCGCTTAGGCGAAAACTTTTTTATCTAAAGCAAAAAAGTTGGCAAAAGTTGATGTATAAAATACGATGCAAAGAATCCTCAACTTGTAATTTTGTTTATACATACTTATACTTTAAAGTTTCATAAATTTCCCCCAAAATATTCATTTATTTTCCTCAAATGTATTTTCTCCATTATTAGTTCTTAAATAAAGCATAACAAAGATTACAAATGACCTTTTCCGTTCTGCAAAGAAAAATAGGGAGGGGGGTAGAAGGAATAATACTTTTTTCTGGAAGAAATTGCAATTTGTTTTTTATTCTTGTATTTTAACAATAGTTTTAATGTTGTATTGTTTAATTATTATGATCACTTGTTAAAAAACTCATTAATTAAGACCTTAATGATTATAATCATTAATGATATTTAATATTTCACGATAATCAGTTAATATATTTGGCTTAAACATCCCCTCATCCAGGACGCCCTCTAAACGATTTAAAGGGACTGTTCGCGTAAATACAAGTGACCATCCATAATAAGATGGTGATGTCCGATTCACAACGGTACCCTTGAAACCTTTAACTGATCAATAATGTGAAGGAAAACGTCGTTTTAACAGGTTTAAAAGTTTTTAATTCTGATATTTCCTATAAGTTTTCCTGTAGGAGAAATGCGCAAAGAACCTTTTGAAGAAAAATCATAATTGAAAAAATCAAATTTCGAAATATCAAAATTGATATTTAATTGATACTTGATCAGACAAAGATCATAAAGGTCCCTTTGTGAATCAGACATGGTCATCTATGTATGTAGGGCACTTTGAAATTATAGCGTGTAAGCCTTTCAGTCATTTTAAGTCGCTACAGAGTGTCCACACCTAACTGGATCGGGTATAGTTCTAAATTCGTCATTTTTTAACACTGAAAAGATTGTATTATCTTACAAAATTTAAAAGGCTAAAATAAAATTTGTATACAGGGTTATTTGAAATATTATCGCATTAGAGCTTTCTAATTTCGAATATTAGTGACTATCAGTATCTTTATTGTATAAAAATAATTGCGGACATAACTAGGGTTTCCATTCGCAAAACTTTTGCGCAATTTTTGCGGAACGAAACGCAAACAAAAGATTTAGCCATTTCGTGGAAACCCTAGACATAACGTATTAAATTCTAATATTTCCAGTATATACCAGTTTCAACTTGGACTTGAAAACACAGCAATGTTGACATTTATTTTAAACTTATAATTACGTTTCTAAAGAATATGATTAAAATGTGCTGAATTACCAAAATTAATAATAATAATGTTTTGACACATGTTACCATACGGTTTTGTCGGCTATAGGTAACAAACATAAACAAACCGTACATGAGCATGTACTTTTACAAATGAATATTTACTAGGCTATTATATTAATCTTCCTGCGTTTACTGTCCGATATGACAACAACTTTTTTTACGTGAATTTTGAAATTTTTAAATTTTTTTCGTAAGTCGAAACTGTATAGAACCCACTTGTCATCCATAAATCTTCCCTGGGGTCATCTGAGGTACCATACAAAAATTATCCAACCAACCGGGTTTGATCAAGATTCCATGTGGTTTGATTTTACAGAATTATCATTTCCATGAAAATATGGTTTTAAACCTGAAATTGGTGATGGTCTGCTTAAAATGTAAATCTAATGTTAAAGTTCACGTTTACAGTTCCCCAACATGAATTATAGGTTAGTTAGAACTCTATGGATAAACTAAATAGAATCTAAAAAATGCCAATATAACCCCTACGAATATATGTATATCTAAAGGTGGTTACAAAGACGGTAGATTCGTTTATTTCCGTTCTTTATTCCATTTTTCAACATTTGAACGTTCGCTTGTAGATTTTTTATCAGATTTATCAGAGTTGTTAAATCATGATTGCCAATCGTTTGTTAATCAAAGGGAAATAACAATTAGTTTCTCAAAAATAACGATTGATCTTCATTAGCTTGCCCAGCACTAGTATGAATATAGTAGATGTACAGAGCGTCCGAAATAATATTGGATTATCTTCAAGCTTTAACGCCAAAATACGCACGTAGTACTCAAAAACCTGGTATTTTCATCACAAAATTTTTCTTTAGTTTTCTGATTAGTCCCTTGAATCTCAATTTAGAGCTATAAACGATCTAATATGATGTAGGACACCCTGTACCTATATTCAAATATCAAAGTGTAGCAAAAAATTGCGGCCTATTGTAATTTACATCGTACCTTGTTCACATAGTAATTACGCAAATCATGTAATACGATTAACCCATTCCATGTAAAAAGATTTGAATACTGTATTAGAAGTAATACAGTAAAAGTAACGATATCGCGCCCTGTGTCACGGGATTGTAGCCGTGTGGATTGAAAGCAGCAGACGGATTGAACCTGGGTAGACTTTTACGAAATTGTTATGGAGTAGGTATTTACTACAGAGGTACCTTCCTCTAGAAGTATAAATATCTATCTCCCCTCACCTAGCAATAGAAAAATACAGCGTCACAATTGAAAGTGAGAAAGTAAAAGTATGCGAGGGTGGGGGAATAAAAGAGGGGGGGGGGTTGTGAGAGGGGATATTACTTTTACGATTAGGGTGAAAGGGGGAGGGAAGAAAGTCAATGGGCCAAAGAGAATAGGGAATCTATTGATATTTGAAAAGGGGGAGCTAAAAATGAGGATACAGTAAATCCATAAAACAGTAGTTTCGTTTGATTCCAACTTTTATCCGAAACTTTTCCGATAAAAAATTGTTTAATTATTTCTATACAATTAAATAGAGCGCACTTGAAACTAAAAATTTGTAACAAGAATTTGGTTAAAATTAACTGTGTCATAAACTGGTGACTTTAAAATAGAACGATTTGGTCAAGAGAACAGAGTTGGGGGAGGGGAATGAGGATGATGATGATTTTGAATTCAAACTGAATTCTGAGAAATCCAAATCTAGATTTACATACCGTCCATTTAAGGTGAAGGGGGGGTGTATGATGGGGAGCGAGGGGGGGGGGGGGCGTTTCTGAGAAATATGAGGGGAGGCCCAAATATAAAGTACGCAGAACAGATTGACCGCAGTTTGTGTAATAGAAGATTAATCCCTGGTGGTAGCTCCCTAAAAAGGTTCAATTGGTACACTTTCATCAGACATAACTTAATATTTTGAAGAATTAAGCGATGTTAACATTTAATCCTCAAAAAAAATATAAAAATGAATGGCAGAAAATGTCTTCCTGTCACATTATTTATATTAATAATTAACGGTAATTGAGAGGAAATAAAACAAATATATCACTTGTGGCATGTTTAGAAAGCATTAATATGTTCTACTAAAACTGATGTATCATAGGAAAAATTAGTTTGTTTGAACTATCTACATTTTACACTGCACTGACTTCATGGAACTTTGTAAATGTTCTATAAAAAATTTATGTGGATTGTCTGTTAGTTTGTCTTATTTGATTCAATTTACCCAAAAATTAAATTACGTTTCCCAAAAATTTATAAATTTTCTCGATTTCAAATTATTTCTGCCGACATACCAATCTTTAAGGGGGTGCATAGTCTTCAAAATATCATTTGTTCTTTATTCACGATGTATTAAGATACATGCTCGACGTTCGTATGTAAAAGATAACAAAATAATCCCATCAAAATGCCTGATTACAAGTCAAAATTATTCAGTAAATTTGGACTTTTAGCTGTTCATAAAAATGCTAAAAAAATGAATTTTCGCAAAAAAATGTGTTAACTAAAAATGTTAACATTAGTTCAGTTCAGATTTAGTATAATTTTATATGCTTAACATAAATTCAGCTTCACCAGTTAATGTAAAGCTAACAAATTTCCGGCGCTGAATTATTAACGACTTAATGCAAACTTATCGCGAAAACATTTCAAATAATATTTGCAGGAATATATTTGCGTGCAGACATGATCCAGACATGGAAACGGACAACAGACAAGACAGCAGACATGACACGGAACACATAAAGGACATACAAAACAAAGACAACTTCACCATGGCAGGTGTAAGCGACAAAGAAAATATTTTCAATTTGCAAACTCGGTATATTCCTAGAGAACGATTTTTGCACCCCCACCCCCCGGCCCAACTTCCTATCAATTTTGTACATGGATCTTACAGAAAGTGTCTTAACTTAACCTAACCCGTGGCCGCAGCGTTCGGCCCCCTAGACTGTCCTAGCCGCAGCGCTCGGCCCAGAAAGTGTCTTAACTAACCTAACACGTGGCCACAGCGCTCGGCCCAGAAAGTGTCTTTACCTAACCTAACCATAAATAATGCTAAATAAATACTAATTTGGACATGTACAAAATTTATAAGGAGGGGGGGGGGCCGGGGGTCCAAAAATCGTTCCTAGGACAGACCCGCAAACTAAGACTAAATTCATATTTAGATTATTGCATGTTATATTAATAAAAGCCAACTTAAAAATTTACACTAAACATAATGTTGCATTTTTCATTACTTTCTACTATGGTTTCTCTATTTCAGCTACAGAAACAATGACGGAAATTGTCAGAATTGAACATTTATCAAGCTTTTAAATAATAATACTGTATTCATTATTTGTAAGCTAAATGTTAAAAGGGTACTGTTGTGAATCAGACCTACTTTTTAAGTGGAGGGTCGTTTAAACTAACGTCTGCTTTGATCTGATCAAGCCACAGAGTTATAACTGGTGTCATTTACAGTTAACTTAGGCCGAAATATTGCATAAATGTATGATTTGTGCATGTATAATAAACGTTTTCTGGTAGAATACGAAACCCGGGGGGGCGGGGGGTCATCTCATTAGGACAGCCCAGAGTGATATTAATTACTAGTAATATTACTAAATAATCTTACTTTTCCATGGTGTCTTGAGCCTTTTCCATATTAGACATTTTATTTAATTTCTTAGTCGGCATTCTCCATTTTATCTGAAACAATCATTGTTTTATGAATCGGAAACAAAATGCTTTAAAAATCATAAATAAATGCGTCAGTTCTACAAGTGTTTAATAATTAAAGCTGTCCATACTCCATCCTAGAATAAAATCAGGCTAGAAATATGCGATACTTTTAACGCTTATAACTAAAGAATCACTTACAAGATTCAACATAAAAGCTATGAAAAAATAACTCAATTGATTGATTAACTGATTTTTAAACTCTTTATTACATGTCACTTTTCCAGTAGGGTTAATTTCAACCATTAAGTTTCACCATGCTTTTTAGTTCTGTCTGCTAGGAAAGCCAAGAGGCCCCGTGCCGGGTAAAAATATATTAAACTAGAGCCACCTGGCGACATTTTCAGTCATTCCTGGAACTTTTCTCTTCTCTCATTGGTCGAAATTCAGGCAGACGTCACGTGATAGAAAGACTGTACTCTGATTGGTTCAGGATGCAGGAGCCGGTCTGCAGCTTCCCTCCTTTCATTTAATGCGTATAAAATTCCCCTGAAGGAAGTTGCTGAGAAAAGCAGACTCGGCACTCTCGGCACAGACCCACCAGAGACCACGTTGACGGAAATCGGCAAAATTGAGGGAACAAAAGTTGACCTAAAAATAATTATCGAAAAAGTAAGTCACAAAATCACGATTTTCAATTTTTTAAAACTTATATAAATGTTGATTTTTTTCGAATTATTTTTTATTTTTGAATGTTCTAATATTTAATTAAAAACGTTTTTAAAAACTCTTGATTTTTTGTTACGATTATAAAACCTCTGTATTATTATTAAACAATAGTGGCCTTGCCCTTGTCGTCTCGACCAATAGGATTTCAGAAGTCTGATGAAACTGACCAATAAGAAGTATTAGTTTAAATCTGAAAAGGTTAAATGGCAATAATCTTGAATTTATAGAATTTATGTCTTCTCCAATCTGCAAAGCTACGATCTTAAATGTATCATGTTCCTAGTCTCAGGTTAACTAATTCTTCAGAATGTGCTGTCATTTATTTTAAAATCTAGATTATTTAGAAATTCGGGTCCATAAAAAAGTATAAATCTTTCATTCCTCTCCCATTAACTCTTTTTTTGGGACGATAGTTAAAAAGCAATGTCGACTTATTAATGCAAAATAATATTTCTGTTTTATAAAATTACTAGGCTTTTAGGATGCTTCGCGCCCATCTTCTATTTAAATTGTGAACATGTTTTTTTTGTCTACATTTTAAAACAAAGAAGAAAAAAATTTTGAGGTTTTTAAAAAAAATTCGCGGATTTTCAAGAATTTAATTTTTTTACAAAATTAAAAACCTTTAAAACACATTTTTTAAAAAAAAATTTATCATTCATAAACCTTCCCTGTGGTCACGTGATGTCCCACAAAAAATGTGGGCCCAATGGTTCAGCCGTTTTGACGTTTATATTGGATACAAACAAACACCCAGACAGACAAGCCAAAGTTATATTTAGATAATTCCTTTTATTTTCTTGTTTTTTCTATTATTTTCTCCAATATCTGAGGCCTTGCATTGGATAAAATGCATACCTAGCTATGATCTATGCAGATTATAGGCCTACCTATAGGCCTAGCCTGGTTATTAAGCCTGTTCATCATTGTTAAGCTTTCATGGTTTCTGTCATTCATTTATTACGTTTTTTAAACATTCAGTGTCCGAATTTAATAAAATTAAGCCGCGTCTCAAATCCTCCAAATATTGGTTTCAATTGAGTGACGGCTTAAATCTTGAAAAATTTATCACAATTTTAAGTGGAACCAACCATAATTGAGCCGCGGCTAAAATTTTAATTCAGACTCAGGGTTTTCTTTTTAGGAGGCTCCACAAATATTTGAGATGTTTGATATATTAAAAAAGAAGTCGTAAAATTTTCTAATAATTAAAATACTGACCCAGTCAGAAGATAACGATATGAACTATTTTGAAAATCGTTAATCAGCTAGCGATTGGCAATTTGTTAAGGCAGTCAAAAAAGTAAATAAAATCTTGATTTAAAAGTTAAACTTTTCAGAATTTTTATTGAGCCCATAAACTCTGAATGTTAAATAAAAGGACAAAAAAATTATGCCCAATAACACAAAAATATTAAATTTGGTACACAGTTGATTTTTTCAATATAAATATGTATATATAAACATATTTTTAAACCCATGTCTTAAAAGGTTCTTTGTTAGAAAAATAATTTTTGATACTATGTTCAAGCAACCGAGTTTTCTTTTCATATACTCTTTGCTGTAAAACTTGCTCAATTCTTTTTGCTTTAAATGCATGTTCCTTTTTTTACTTGAATATTTAATAATTTTGATTAAAATTCTTAAATTTTTTCTTGAATCTCTTTGCTTGTTTGTTTGTATACAACAAGGGATGGCCAGAATTAAAAAAATCAACGAAAAAAATTGAAAAATCTGCGAAAACTTTTTTGATATTGTTTGACAATTTAAGAAGAGAAAACAGTTTAAAGTTAAAATCAAAGATGGGCGCGAAGCCTAGTTACACAAAAAAACCTTTTGAAGTGAATTATTACAGGGGGAAAAAAATTGACAAATATGACAATTATAACTTTTCTTTTAGTAAAGAAACCATTAAGACTATAATAATGTAGTAAAAATGCATGTGTTAAAGGGACCGTTCATTTATTTGGGTAATTTCAGGGTAAACTAAACAACCTATTCACTCTTGATTGGTAATAGTCTTACTTTTCAAAGACAACTGTGGCCGGAGAAAAAGCCGATTTTTCGTCTAGAATTTGAGCGGAAAGGGACGGTCCCTCTCTATAGACACTATTTGATGTTTTTTCAGTAACAGCAGCCCAATAACATTTAAATTTATTATATTTCAATGTCATTATGTGTTCGTTATTATGTACAAAAATCTTAAAACTTTTGTTATTGCAGTTAGCAAGAAATTTACGTTTTCGTATTAAAACATGTAAAATGTGTTTACAAAGACGACGTCTCTACGACAATCAATCAATCATTAATCGTATTTTGGTTCGTAGATTTTGTATATTTTTTTCCCGTATGTGCACAACTTTTCATTTGTCATGCCGCGTTCAATTCAGCTTTTTACACAGGCAATACACAATTTTGATTGCGATAAAATAGTGTTATTTTAGAAATAGAAAGTTAAAAAACAAAAAAAAATTTAAAAATAATGACATTTACAATTAACGATCAGATACTACAGTTTAATTTTATATTCGAAATTTATTTTGATTCACAACATGCTGAAAAAAACATCAATTAGTGTCTATAGAAAGGGACCGTCCCTTTGCGCTCGAATTCTGAACGAAAAATCAACTTTTTCTCCGGCCACAGTTGTTTTTGAAAAGTAAGACTATTACTAATCAACAGCGAATAGGCTGTTTAGTTTACCCTGAAATTACCCAAATAAGTGAACGGTCCCTTTAAGGAACAAAATTGAAAACTATAATTATATGACATAATATTCGAGTTTTCCAATACTTATACACAAAGCTAATCAACGGGCTTTTCAAAAATAACTAAATAAAGTTTAAAATGTTAAAATAAATCTTAAGAAAAGTCAGATATTTACAAATCAAGTTAAAAAATATATTTTTTCTGTTTTTCTTATTCCTTACATTTCTTCAATATATATGAACCACATGTGTATTATAGTTATACAATCCTTGTCAGATTTTTGAAAACACCGGATTTGCTGCTGCTACTGTATTCCCTGGGTTCCATAGCTTTTGTTTGATATGCATAAAGCCATAGTTGAAATATTTTCTATTTCTGAAGGTCTATATATAGGTTGCAATGCATGAATTGTATAAATTGCATACTTTAAAAATTCTTTTAAAAAAAAAGAATTTGCCAAATGCAAAAAGTTAAATGTGTCCACAAGATTTGACCCTGTTTAATACAGTAAAGAAAAAATATTATAGGTTAAGCCCTGTACAGTGTACACTGTACAGGGGCCTGAAGGGATTTTCTGATGTAATTACATGAAATCACGAACTGATCAAAATTTATAACCATGTAGATTTTATTTACACTATAGCACTGATAAGGATGCAACATACTACTTTTTGATATTATAGAGGCGAAGAAGGGGGGACCCCTCAATTAATATGGGTTATTAATCCCCATATGGGCAATAAATCGACCGTCTCCCCTCATCGTATCAGGTGTCTAGGACACATCTCTCCCCATGCACTTCCGGCCTATAGGGCATAATAGCACCCCCTCCTTCAGGAACTACTGTAATGGGACAGCTAACCCCCTATAACACCCCCTACCCTCGTCTCTAAATAATTGGGCCTTCCATTTTACCCTGTTTTGTTCCACTAAATATTTCCCCCCCGGCCCCACGGGGATTCTAAAGACAGATTAACATATTTAGATTAAATTCAGGCTTTATAGCTTAGAAATACAAACACTAGGAATGCATTGATTTTACAAGCATTGAGATTCAGGCTTGGAGTATTCATATCAGAGCAGTTCATAGAGATTATTAGAGTATTCATATCAGAGCAGTTTATAGAGATTATTAGAGTATTCATATCAGAGCAGTTAATAGAGATTATTAGAGTATTCATATCAAAGCAGTTCATAGAGATTATTAGAGTATTCATATTAGAGCAGTTCATAGAGATTATTAGAGTATACATATCAGAGCAGTTTATAGAGATTATTAGAGTATTCATATCAAAGAGTTCATAGAGATTATTAGAGTATACATATCAGCAGTTTATAGAGATTATTAGAGTATTTATATCAGAGCAGTTCATAGAGATTATTAGAGTATGCATATCCTAGCAGTTTATAGAGATTATTAGAGTATTCATATCAGAGCAGTTTATAGAGATCATTAGAGTATGCATATCAGATCAGTTTATAGAGATTATTAGAGTATTCATATCAGAGGAGTGTATAGAGATTATTAGAGTATTCATATCAGAGCAGTTCATAGAGATTATTAGAGTATTTATATCAGAGCAGTTAATAGAGATTATTAGAGTATTCATATCAGAGCAGTT